CGGGCGCACCTTTTGCCTTGAAACCGGAAGTCAGGCTCCCTCTCCTCTCCCCCATCCCCATCCCCATCCCAGGCAGTGCTCTCAGGTGGCCCAGCCTTTCCTGGGGGTGGGGAACCCCGGAGCCCAGGCTTCTGACTTGCTGGCTTGGAATGAAGCCCTGGGGACATGAACTCATCTCCCCTATGGGACAGGAGGCCCCGGTGTGAAGCCAGGCACCCAGAACAGCTCCCAGCATTCTGGAGTGGGGGACCCCTCAAGTCCAGTGCCCTTGTGTCACAGATGGGGACTCCCAGACCACAGGGAGGAAGAGGCGCTGTGGGTCACAGGCCAATGGTGGAGGTGTCTCTCTCCCTGCCACTCCCACCCACCAGCTGGGGTTCCTGGGTGCCCTCTCCAGAGGTCACCCGCAAATTATCCTCAAGACCCGAGACCATGGGGACGGGCCAGGCCCAGGGCCCAGTGCGTGGAGCCGGCACAGATGGCGCGAGAAGGGTCCGGGTCCTCTGGACCTTTGCCACAACCCTCGCCCCCTGCCCGGCCCTGTGCAGCCTCCAGAGACACCTTAGGGCAGCCCTGCGTCCTGCTGTCCATCCACCCCACCTGTCCCGTGAGTGTCAGGCACACCGGCCAGGCCCACGGTCAAGGCCAGCATGGAGTCCCCTGGACACGGTCCCCTCCCCCCGCTCACCAGTGCCTGCAGGGAACCACCCCTTTGACCTCCGAACATCGACTGCATTCTCTCTGCCGTTTGAGTAGGGTTTTTCCCTTAGTTATTTCTGTCTTGTATTTTACGTCATTGTTTCTATTAAGAGTATTTTGGATGCACGAACCCAAGAACCTGGGAATAAGGTGGCATCTGATGTACCCTTATGCTTTTCCATCCCATAGCCATATAGACCAACACGTAGATCCACAGATTTATCTGGTTATACGTTTGAGATTCTTCTATATATTTGATGTACAGGAACACGTGGGCACCTGGGAGTGAGGCGCGATCGGCTACGGGCAGCGGAGGTTCCGTGCAACCCAGTTCTGCCCGTACTCGGTGTATGCACATAGCAAAGATGCGATAAATTCTTATTTTTCCTTTTTAAAAATCAATAAATCATTTGTGATGCTTTTAACAAAGATTAAATGAATGTGATCAGTGTTGGTCTTATTACGAAGCTACTTCTCAACCTTCGCCTAAAAGCGCACGCACACACGCACCTGTGGTCCCGCAGCCGTGTGGCCGGGGGACTCGTGAGAGGAGCCAGGAGCATTCGTGACTCTGCCAGGGGAGGTCGCCGTGACATTAACCTTGTCCGTCACTGAGCCCAGAACATGCCACCTGCAACGCTGACACCAGCCCTGTCAGCTTTCGAAGCGCTCGCACGCACGCTGCTCGCTCACTGCCATCAAGGCCAGCGGGAGGAAGTGTGCCACCACGGCGTGCTCCCAGGATGCGGACGTGGGCCGTCCACAGTGTCACGACACCAACCTCAGACCAGGCCACCAGAGCTGGGCACGTGCCCCAATCCAGCCGAACACAGGCGGACCCATTCACAAAGATGGCCACGTGCCTGTCCTGGCTGTGATGGCCGAGGCCGCCTTCCCACCCGTCATGGCTCTAGCCCTGGGGAGCCCGCTTCCGGACTCCCCGCGTGCCCCCCTTCATGACGGCACCCCGCCAGCTTCCTCGAATCCTCCCCACGTCACCGCCCACGGCCCAGCCGGCACTCAGGCCTTCCCAGCACCCTGCGACAGCCCTGGGTCCCCGTGCTGTGTGCCGTCCCTGGGTCTCCGCCAGCTGGAGGGGCTGGCAGCGACTCCGTCCTCCAGTGGGCAGGGTGGCCCTGGAGGAGTCCCCTGTGTCAGCGCATGGGCAGTGACCGGCTTGTGGGGAAACCCACCCCGGAGCTCAGCTCCAGCGAGAGGGGAGACGCGCCCGCCCTGGCTGTGGCAGGGGGTTGGGGGCTCTGGCCGTACCCCAGATTCCATCACTCACAGAAACATCCCGTGAGCCTCGGGTCACTGTAATGACTGCCGAGCACCACCGCGTCCCACAGGGGCTCCGCGCACCACTCCCAGCCTGGCACGCACGATCCCCGGTCACCTGTCTCATCAACGCTGGCCCGGCAGCTTTCTGCAGTCGGTGAGCTCAGCCTTGCCAGCTCCAGCACGGAGGGCGCCGGCCCAGACGTCTCGGTGCCGTGCACCAGAACCACTGGCATCCACGGCCCGCTGTCCTCAGATGGTTAATCACCAGCAGGCCGGACTCGGCAGACGGCACCCGGTGCCCACACCAGGCCTCACGCTGGGAGAACGGGCTCATTCTCGCCGTTGGCAGCTGGTGCGGTCACGGCCCAAATGTTCAGCTCTGTTACCGATCCACACGCAGTGCCCTGGCCGAGCCGGTGCCGGCCAGCGGAGGGGCCGAGCCTGCCGGGGCAGCGGCGATGGGGACGGTGAGCACAATAGCGGTGACAGCTCCCATTAGTGACCCCATGTGCCAAGTCCTGTGTGGGCACTGTTCACGCGGTTCCATGAACCGTGCTGGCGGTGATCCGTGCAACAGGTGCCACTGTCCCCATCCAGTAGTCAGGGCAGCGAGGCACGAAGAAATCAAGAGTCAGGATTCAGGCGAACACCTCGGTGGCCAGGCCGCCCTGCGACCACAGCACCTCTGCAGGCGGGGGGCAGAGCCATGCCCGGGGAGCCACGGCGCTGACGATGCCGCGGGGCGGAAGGTGGTCAGCGGCTGGGGGGCTGCTGAGGCGTGCCAGTGAGGACAGAGGGAGGTCTTCAGGGGACTGTGAGGACAAACGCCACCAGGACTGGACCGAGGCAATCGCAGAAGTAGATGGTGCACGTAACGATGTTTTCTAGAATTTCCTCAAGGTCGCAGACTTGAGAGCTGAGAATCAGGGTAGTAGCTGGGTGACTGTGAGGGTGGGGGTCGGTCTTGTGAAGACGGCGGTGTGTGGACGGGAATGAGCAGGGAGAGGAGGGGACAGACGGTGCAGGAGGGAGAGGACGGACCCCAAGGGCGAGTGCCCAGCGTGAGCAGAGGGGCCGGCGTGGTGGGAGCAGGGACCGCTCGGGGACCCCGGGGACGGCACGGGAGCACCCAGGGTGGGAGCCTCCCCTTCCGCCTGCTCTGTGTTCTCAGGGAAGGAGCGAGCGAGGTCGTCGCTGGGAGCGAGCGGGGAGACGGGGCCAGGCTGCTCTGTGCCCCCCAAGGCCAGAAGTAAGGGAGGGGGCACAGTCCAGGACGGGCCAGGGAAAGCGTGACTTGGTGTCAGTCTAGGGGTTACCTGCAGAGGAAGCAGGAAGAAATGCTCAGATGTGTGCACTTTTCGAGAAGAAAATAAACTCAAGGACATGCTCTTAGCAGCTGAGGCGGAGTCGAAAGCCAGCAGTCCAGTAGTGGGCGTTTTGGGGTGTGAAAGATCGTGGTAGCGTCGATGCTGCTGGTACCAAAATACAAGTGAAAATCAAATCCCCTGCGTCCCCTCCCACCTCCGAAGGTGGATCAGTCCTCCGTAGTGGGCGGGGTCAGAGCCTTTTGAAATGAGCAGACGAGGTCACTCCGACGAGGTCACTCCGACCTCCAGAGGACGGACACCCAGATTCCTCCTGGAGCAGCGGCTGTGGGCACCCTGCTGCACAGCCCTGCCCCACAGACCCCTGTTCTCCAGCATCTGGCCCTGCTCCCCAGGGAGCCTGGCTCTGTCTGCACAGGGAGGACCCGAATGGTGGCAGCCGGTCACATTGCTCCCTTTGCCCTGGGGGTGGGACTTTGGCAAGAGAGGAGTCAGCTGAGGACTCTGGGAGAGGTCAAGTCACTCCTGGAAGGGACTCGGGGAGGCTGGGCCTCCTCTTCCCCTGGGCGTGGGGTTGGACCAGCCACCAGGGCCCAACAAGAGGGGCTCCGGGTCGGCACAGAGGCCAGATGGGAGGGACCCGGGTCCCTGAGGCCATGGAGCTGCTGGCCGCTGGACTTGCCGGTGGGACCTCGGGACGGTGGGGCTGCTGGCTGCGTGCACATCAGACCTGAATGGGGTCTTCTGTCACCTGCAGCTGAAAGCACCACTTCCCCTCAGCTTCGAAAGCCCACGTGATCCGCCCTGCGACCTCGCACGTACCACCGGCCCCTCTCCTGACGGCCCCTCACCTGCGCCTTGGGGCCTGTGCCTGGGCTCGCTCCGCCTGATGTAGGGGGTGCGTGATACTGGACACCCCGTTTACTTCTGCTTTTGTCGTCGCCGCCCCCATGGCGCTCAAGGTCAGCTCGCGGACGCGGGAGCCGTCACCGGCTGGTTCGCCATAGCTCCCCCG